CCTTTTTTTAAACACAGGGATTCTTCCCTAGATCACATGCCTACAGCACTCCCAGAATCAGTAACTGTAGCAAAACAGCAAGGGCCAGGTACTGAGAAAGTACCAAAACAGATCCTAGAGTTACACAGGCAGTTTTCCATATTTAGCAGTAGCTAAATACAAAACTGGTACATTTTACTCACTTCTTTACATTAACAGCAGCATGGCTTCGCTTTACTTCCTCAAACATTATATAGTCTAAAAGGAAATAAAATCTTTGGAAAGGCTTAAATGTGTCAGTCTGTTTCAACAAGTGGGACAACTATTCAGTGCACCACAAGAACTGATCCCTAGGTTATCTCACAAATAAAGTATCAGTAAAGTTGCACTACAGGCAAGTATTGGCTTAAAAAGATGAAATCCAACTTTGAACAGCTTCCAGGAGTGAGAAAGAGCAAATGCCAGTAGCAGAAGAAGGATATCGAGGTTGTCTCTCAGGCAGCTCATCTTTTAGCTCATCAGGAGAAATACCCTGGTAACATTAAACACAAGCAATATTTGAACAAACAATCTTGTACTTGAAGGCATACTAAGAAGGCTAAAGCAGAATAATGGAACAGTGAAACAGCTGTAAGTCAGATGCACATCTACAGATGAACTGATAACCGTCTCTCACACAAATTACTAGAGCAGTTTAGGAAAACTTGTGTGCTAATAGACTCCTATGACTAAACACAGCATTAATGTTAGCATGAATAATCACCCCTCTTTTAGGCATAACGAGTTTAGAAAACATTTTTGGCTCTAGTTGGATATGTTACCATGCTTTCCTAGCTCTAGTGCTGAACAGAAATAAGCAAGCACATACCAAAAAGTATCTGCTGAAATCAGCGACATAAATGGTGCTTTTGAAAAAGTCAGTCCTTCCTCCTTGAGCAAGCAAAAAAAGAGGCCCCATTCTATTTAAATGTTACATTAACATCTACATTCTAGGGAATAAGAGTTACGGTTAATGCTCAAATCCCTGGCAAGGATTTAATTTTGTCCTATGTGCCATTAAGAAACACTACACACTGGGCTGACCTTATTATGCCACCTATCAAATTTAGAGTCTGCAGAGGATTAGCAATCCTAGCTTCTAACTGATGGCAGATCAGCTCAGAGTTGAATATGCAGATCTATGTGGAAACACAGCAGAAACCTCTTCAAAAAGCCAGCAGGTGCCAAAGATGCTTTTTACATAGTTGTATCGTAACAGCTTTAAATCTAACTTTTTTGTGCAATTAATTAGTCAACTCAATTGCTTCTGCATAGTTCCACTATTAATAGTGCTGTGCTTTTTACATGCAGAGTGACCATGCATTTAAATAAGCTCATGACCCAAATTAGATTAAGAGTTTGATAACAATTTGAAACTAAGGCAGTACCTTAGAGACAACAATACATTGCGGGCTGAAGATACTCTTATTTACAATTCATTTAACAAACCTCATGCTCCTCATCCAGTACCACCAACTGCTTATCCTTGTCGATTTTCACTATAAATCAAAATAAAACATAGATCAATGGTTTTTTCAATTGATTTATACAACATATGCATGAAGCTTTTTGACATTTCTGCCACAAATACACTCCTTGTGCTTCCATGCTGCTTCTTCAGTCTATCCCATGACTTAACAAAATCACTGAAGACAAGAGAAGTGCACAGCCTAAGTGCTGTTCATTGCAATACACCCTTCTCAGATTTCAAACTCCCCTACTTAAAGGCTACAAAACTTACAAACTCAAAGAGCCTTCACATTTTTTACTATCATTTTACAACCAGCAGTAGACTCTGAGCTGCAATTAAGTCTAAATACTCTACTAAGAGTAGATGAAGTCTTGTATCATAAGAAGAGTATTGCTTTACTGCTAGAATTACAGTCAGAATTGGAACTACTGAAGCTCATACAAAAACCAGCCTCTTGGCTCACATTTACATGTTACAGCAGCAGCATTACACAGGAAGGAAAAGAGGAGATCAAATTTGCTGCAAGACCTTGAAATTTTTGTCATACATGGTTTTTAACTTACTTATAATGGCAGCATTGTTGGTTTCTTTACGAAACCGGAATTTTCTCAGTTTCTCCACCAGGTCTTCAGCAACGTCACAAACCACCAGAGATTCACTCTACAAAAGGGAAAGGGCAGAGGGGAGGGAAAGATAAATCTTTCTAGTAAACCAGAAAAAAATCCCCACGTCACGCATAGGTGCACATAAACCCTACTGAAGTGGAAGTTTCAGAACATACACATAAACCAGACAAAACATCGATGAAAGCAGTTTTTAAAAACACAAAGCCAGAACACTTATCTGTTATAGTATCTCTCCTCAAAGCCACACAGTTAACTGGAAATATTTTATTAGCTGTTCCTGAAGTGGGATTAGTCTCACAGCTCTTAGAATTTTACCATTGGTTTGCCAGGATGAGTCCTGAAATATGGAACCCCCTTAGAGTGGCAGTAAAACTGGCTACAGTAATTTAAGCATTTAAAATAATAGGAGCTACTATTATTGTTTCAGAAGAACACAGACAGTAATCAAGGGTCACTGCTTATTTTTACACACAAAAATATTAACTGAACATCTGAGATTTACACAGACACTAAGCATTTAAGACATTTTAATCAAAAAGCTTGCATAGTCTTCCCCCACGTGCACATCTCTCAACTTCAAGTTTTCAGAAGAAATGTCCAGATAACATATTAGTCACCACACTGAAGATAGGGAAGGAAATGATTATTTCACAAGCAACCATGCAGGTTATCTTCCATTACACATGCAATTTTTAAACTGTACCAAGCCAACCACTACCATTTCCTGAGCAACATTTTATACACACAACCTCTATCGCCGCAGTTAAGGGATGCATGCCAGCTAAACGAAGAAAAGTTATTGAACATCTCCAGCTCACTCATATTATTGTACTTATAAATTTGTATGGCATCAAGGCTTTTGTGCCAAAACAACTGTTATTTCAAGATTTCTTAAAAAAAATTGCTCAAATAAGAAAACAGTTGCAATATTACCTGTCACAAGATGTACTAAAGAACTATTTCATTGAGACAAATCACTGCTCACAAATCAGAAAGGTACTATTTATTTAAACTCTGGGTTCTGCCTCCTCATGTTCGATGTTGGCTTGTTTGTGAGATTTTCTTCAAATAGCAGAGCAGTGTCTCTCCTTCCCCACTTCCAAAATCACCTTGCAAATATCCTATGTTTGTTGTTACTCCTAAAATGACTTCCATCTTGACCAAATTCTGGCACAAATTCTTGTGCCTCTGCTTCCTTTTAACAGCTGGAGAGGAAATCAGGCTCTGCTGTGACAGGACAGGTCAGGCACCGTATGTGCAGCCTTCATTATTTTGTTTGTTTCCCCTAAAGTTTGTTCTTGGCTCCCTCTGATCCACAAGTGTCACTAATACCCACTACTACAGGAGATCTCTATTTAAAAAAAAAACAAAAACCAAAACAGAATTCAGGGCTGCATTTCAAAGCTGAAGTTATGTTCTGTATCAAATGCTCTTTTCTGAAGGAAGCTTTTCTCCCAGTCCTCTGGGCTCAGTAGTTCCCTAACATCTTCCAGCAGACACTGCGATGTACGCAGTGCTCCTGTTCATACCTGTGCAACCACACAAATAAGTCCTTAAAAGAAGCTGAAGGCTGTGCCTGCAAAACACATGGTGACATCAGACTCAGATCATCTGTCAGGGCTAAGCTGGCTCACCAGCACTCGGTTTAATAAAAACTGAAGTAAGTCAAGAGACAGGAGG